CAAATGAAATTATCTAGTGTTAGCCATCAAATGTATGCATATAGTGGTGTTTTTTTCCTTGAAATATAGCTTACACTTTTTATTTTCTTACTCTTTCAAAATATTTAAATCATACTCTCCACTTATTGTACAAAATAAAATTTCTAATAGATAAAAAATGAATTACAGGCAATAAATGTCCCTACCTATATTAAGAAAAAGATCATAATAAATTTTACTATTTTATTATAAAAATTATCCTTGAATAATTCTCCAACTAAGAACTAATGAATGAATATCATGCCTCATAACATTTATCATTCTTATATGTGTGTGTGTTGTTATTATTATGATCATCTTATATATATGCATATTTTTATTATTTTATTATGATCTTCTTTATATTTTATTCACATTTACGTCTAACTTTTATAATATTCGTACATTTCTTATTATATTAAATTTAAAAAAAAATTTAATAATAATTCAAACCTATAAAACCCCCACCAACCCAACAAACCAAACAACAATATAAACGACTTGCGTGCCTGTGAGATGAAAACCATAACAATCAGCGCTGGAAGCCCAATTTCAATGCATTTTGCCAGCTGCAGGAGAGGAGAGGAAATAAACATGGCAAAAGAAGTAAGAGGCTATAGCGCAAATCACTAAACTGAGAAGTGAAATAACTAACAAATGTATTGACATTTACCATTGGAAAACCAAGACTATATAGACCAAGTCCAGTGAACGTTACATAAGGAACAACAGAAAGTGGGCTCAAGAACCTACACCAGTATAGAGATACATCAGACGCCAAACCAATGTAATAATTAACATAATAAATTTGATTAAAGCTACAGTACTTCTTTACCTGACAGTATTTCTCCAAAAGCCCATGAACCCCATGATCATCTGGAAGCATGCACTTATGATCAAGGCACCTTGTATTCCTCGAATTGTTTGAGTGAACCTCTGAAAAAAGCCACCATATAGTTCAAGTAAGAAAATCAATAACAGAAAAGAAAAGTAGCAAATTTTCTGACTCAAACTGACCTCAATCGGATCTGAATATGAACTATATCTGCCGTTCCGAATAATTGAGATTGTGGGTATCAAGTAAGTGTATGAACCAACTACTACAGTTGGAAGTCGGGTTCCAAACATAGATTGAAGAATCGTGCCCAGTCCAGAAACAAACAATAGGCTTTGTATCACCCTTGCCTTTTCAGCCTAGTAGAATTTAAATTTGAGTGACGAAGTGAAGGTACATTTGAAGAAAAAGGGTGCGAAAATGAACAGTGCTTACATTGCCTCCACCCATTTGAGGAACAACTATGGTTGGAATTAGAACGGTCATGCCAAGGGTCAGAAAGTAATGCTGGAACCCCAATACTACAGCTTCAGCTGCATAGGGATGAATTGTTCAAATTCAGAAAAGTAAATAATAATACAATACACATCATTAAGAATATGGTAGTACTGATTTTTTTCTAGTGTCAAAGATGGTGTTAATGATCCAATAGAAGAGAAAGAAATTAAAGAGAAAAAAAAGTGTCTACGGACGCCATGGAGGAGGACTGTTTATGCAATATTGAACTCCAGGCAATTGCTCCTTCACTGGGTGTGGCTGTACCTCCTCTGGCTTTTTGTTGCAAATTTGGGCCATCACTTGCAGAAAAGAGTAAGGATATCAGTTCAAGATCCCAACCTTGACCTAATGAAATTGACAATACACTTCTCTATTTAAAAGGATACTCATTAGTTATTACTGTTGAAATTTATCATTAAACGGTCAAATTATTTAATGATATTCTAGCAGTTACAAAAATTCAAATTTTCGCCATCATTGGCATTAACCTCTTATAACAGTCAATTAAAACTAAAGAAGAAAAAAATCATCCGTACCAACATCAATCCATTACCATCATGGAATGATTTGTTTGAAACTAATCCAATACACATTATCTACCCAAACAAAAACATTAGAAACCTTATCATCATATCCCACCATCAGAAGGCGTCAGCAACAAGCATAATTACTAGTCTGATAATGCACTGGGATGGCCACAGCGGTGAAACCCAGTGCTTTATCCAACACTAAAGGTCATCGAACCATTCCATCACACAATGAGGCACTATAACCCTTCGAAATATTTCCACTACGCTCCCTGTTATAAGAAGCCAAATATCAAACGAGGGAATCCATCGTTCCTGTCGTGGGAAACTAAAAAATCAAATAAAAATTTTCCAGTACACTCCATTATATAAGAAGCATATATGTATATATAGACAAACATGCACCCCATGGCCGAACGGTGAAGGGAAAGAAAAGAAGCTCGTCGATTTCGGTTTCCTCTTCCTTCGATTTCAGCATTTTCTCTTCGATTTCGGTTCTTCTACTTCCTGCGACTTCCCTCCGCATTTCCCCTTACCCAATAGAATAATCCCTCTTCGCGCGCTCTTCTAGGAGAGTCGGAGTATGAGGAACCGCTTAACGGTCCGGTCGTGCATATTTTTATAAATTATTTTAAATTTAAATATTTGATGTAAACTATTTATAAAAAAATTTTAAAAAAATATCTGTAAAATTTTAAAACTTTAAACCAGAAATAATTATAAAAATGTGTTGTTTTTTAAATATTATCAATTGTTATTAAAATGTAGTAAACAAAACTAATTCAAAATTTAAAATTCAAAGATATTTTTTTTAGAATTCTTCTATATTTATAACATGTTTTCTCTAAACTTAAATTTATGAAAAAATCCTTAAAAAAAATACCTTTTTGAATTTCAAAATTTCAAATCAATCTTGTTTACTGTACTCTAACAATAATTAACTACACTTGAAAAGCAAATTAGCAAATAGTAACTAGTTCCTGATTTGAAATTTTAAAATTCAAAAGATATATTTTTGGGATTTTTTCTAAATTATATTATAGTTTTCATACATACCCACACCATTTTGTTTCATATTTGGCTACTGTTGAAGTCTTCCTTCATATGGTATTAAAAAAAAAAGTCTTACTTTCATGATATTTAGTGGGTAAAGGTTTATAAGTAAAATTGTAACTAAAAAAATATTTAAATTTTTTAGAAATAAAAATAAATAAAGATTGATTTATGTTACCTTTGATCTATTCCCTTTATTAATTTTGACTGGGTCTTAACGATTCCACATGTTCTTGACTATTTTTCTTTTGAAGTAGTATGCTCCGTTTTTCCAAACTAGACGAGGGATTATTCAATGATTTATTATGTAAGGCATTAATGATTTTTTGCATAAAAAAAATGAACATTGCCCCAGTTTTGTATTGGGCTCAACATTAAAAAAAGAAAAAGGAAGCCCAAGAGATTTCAAAGCTTATTCACATTTGTAGACCCTAAAATAAGGGAGAATTAGAACAAAGGGCCAATAGAAAAAATATTTAGGACTGAGGATTATAAAAATTGTAATTATTTTAAAAGGTCATATATTAAAATATAATTTTCGAAAGACTAAATTACCTATAACTAATCCTTCTATATTCTCTCATATGATATTTCAATTACTTGACAATTAGTGAGTTTTTCTTCTTCTTCTTCTTCTTTTTTTTTTTTTAACTAGCCTACATCCCACTCCACACAAGTTATTTGATTCATGTATGATTACTTTGTTAGTCTGCAACCATATTTTTACATCGGGTGCCCCCTTCAACATGCCCCAAAATAGGCACCCAAAAAATGATTCTTCTTAACCTGCAAAATCAAACATGATATAGTTTAATCCATTTGCTCACAAAACTCCATAATTTTTTTTTGGTAGAAACGAGGGCTGAGCCTAAAATTAAATTAAAAACTCAGGGGGATTAAATCCCATACAATCATTGGACAACAAAGTTCCTAAATGACTAGGACAAGAATCTAAAATTGAATTAAAAGAAAGCCCTTGCTTAGCAAGTGCATCAGCTAGCTGGTTTTGTTCCCTAAAAACGTGAGTCACCTGCACATCCCACGTATAATTGAGCATGTTCCAGATTTGAGAGAGAGGAAGGCTGCTACTATTGAGTGCATCTTTGGTTTGCACCTTTTCCACCAATATTTTCGAATCTGATTCTAAAATGATTTTTCTGAAACCAAATTCCCAGGCCAATTTCAAACCTCTTAACATGGCCCATTCTTCCGCAGCAAGAATATCATAGATACCTAGAGTTTGCATGAAACCCACAATCCAAGATCCATCATGATCCCAGATAACTCCACCACAGCCAGCTTTGGTTCTTGATGATGAGACAGCACCATCTACATTCAGTTTCAACCAACCAAGTTGAGGGGGTAGCCACCTTGTATAAACCCGTTGAGGAGGGATTGTGTACAAGATATGTCATTACACTGCACGAAACTCTTCCAACAATTTGCAATAACAGCAGCTGGGTTTTCTGGTTTTGTGAAGTTAGCTTCAAAAATAAATCTGTTCCTCCATTTCCATAAGTGCCAGATAGCAACTCCCCACAACAAATTCCAAGGAGGCGAGGAATTTAGACCAAGTTCTCTTTTGAGGTTCATAGCAAACCAGTCTCTACTAGAGGCAGCAAAGAATTATGAATGAAAGTTTGATTTAAAAGATTCAGCCACAATTGTCTAGCATAAATGCAATCTCTAAGGATATGCATCACATCTTCTACTTCAGAGTGAGAAAAGGAGCACATAGGTGAGGGTTGAGACCATCTACTTCTCCACTAATTTGTAGGAAGTCTATTATGAAAAGAAATCCATAAGAATACTTTGATTCTTTCAGCTCCTTTCGATTTCCAAATAGCCTTATAAACTGGGCTATGGAGGTTGGTTGGAGGCTGCTGTATCATACAATAAGTACTTTTAATAGTGAAGTTACCATGAGAGTGAGCATTCCATAACATGACATCTTTCCCAGCTTCTAAGATAGGTGGAAGAGTTGCAATTAGTTGCTGCATCACCTCTCTATTAACAATGTTGGCTAGTCGGGGAAAATCCCAAGCACCATGAGAAACCCAATTAGCAACTATGCTACTTTCCTCTTCCGGTAATAGCTCTCTAAGGCAAAGATCTTTAATTTTCCTTTCCTTAAAGAGCCAACAGTGGCTAAAAAAGTTTACAAATTGACCATTTCGAATTTGCCATCTGGTACCTTGATCAATAATGTCTTTTTGTTGACAGATAAACTTCCAAAGTTTGGAGTCTCCTTGCTGCACATTTAGGAGATTATCCTCACTTCTCATCATATATTTATGCTGTAGAACTTGAGCCCACAAGCTGTTCGATCCTGCCACCAAGTTCCAAGCCAACTTTGCTCTGAAGGCTCTATTCATAAGGGACAACCTTTTAAATCCAAGTCCTCTATAGTTCCTCGGCAGAACGATTTGCTCCCAACTTATTGGATGAAATTTTCTGTGCTCCTGAGTGCTTCCCCAAATGAAGTTGCGCTGTATAGCTTCTATATCACTACAAATAGTAGCAGGAATCTTGGCAACTTGCATTGGATAGAAAGGAATAGTATTCAAAACTGATTTAGCTAAGGTGATCCTCCCTGTTGTTGAAAGACAATCAGCTTTCCAAGAAGACAGTTTAGATTTGACTCTATCCACAATATACTAAAATTTTCTATGTTCTTCCTTTTTTCAGTAAGAGGGAAGCCAAGATATCTCCCAATTTCAGAAGAAATTTTCATTCCTGTGATGTCCCTCAATTTTCCCCCATTGAAGCAGCCACTTTGGGAGAGAAGAATAAGGAAGATTTCGCCCTGCTAACTTTCCCACCCGACGCTGCACAGAACTGATCTGAGCAGTCCATCATGCAAATATCTTGGTGTTCGGTAGCTTCTTCAAACAAAACTCCATAATTTGTTTGAGAAAAATGCTACTCGTTAGTTTTGAATACTTGGCCCCTAACGATGGAGCTCCTCAAATCACAGACCATCCCTCCTTCGACAAAAGAGACAAAAAC